CTTAAGAGACTTGCTCTCTCGTCTTAAGAGGAAATATCAGTTTATTTTCCCGAGTGAACTATACATTAGTTATGTAAAAAGTCAGTGACCACAAAGACACTTGAGTTCTTGTTCCAAGGTAAACTGAACCTTACCTTGCCTTCCTTTTCCTTTCGTTTGTTCCGTGGATCAACATCCACACGGCACGGTCTCTTACCATTACTTTTGGTTGACGGTCTCCTCAACCACGCTCTTAGACTCTGGTGTTTCAAGTTTGGCTTGTGAATCACAATCTGGTTGATCAGGTATCCTCTAGAAGTGCTTATCGAGTTCTCGTTTGAACACGAGTGGCGTTATAGTTATGGCTCTAATGTTCAGAAGATGAGCCTAACTACACATAAAACTACAATATATAAAAAAAATGCTTTATGTAGGAAAAATACCAATTTTGAACATAGCGTTTAAACTGATGAATGCGATTTTAAGGTTGGCCGAAGCCTGAACGAGCCAAACATGAGCCTCAAGGCCTCAAGGGCAGTGTGGTGACATCACCCCCGGGGTGCCTCTTTCATCAGCTCTAAGTCTTGGGGACGTCTTTACTACGGCCAGTAGTCTCAAGGGAGACTTCTCCCGGTAAGCGCTGATTCACATAAAAACATAACAATTGGTTTTTACAAATGGTAATCACGAGTCTGAAATTATAAACTATTTTAATAAAAATCAATTATAGTTTATTCTGGAATCGTATGTGTACGATTCCATATACATGTTAAGCATAGCACATTATAAACAAATTGATGGCAGGTAGAGATATTTCTCCTGGGACTTTTATTTAAAAAATTGTTTTATGCCAATGCTAATATTTCCAATTTTAGCTAAAATTTCCTAATTTTATGCTAATGCTAAAATTTCCAATTTTAGCATTTTTTCAAATTTTTCATGTAAATTGACCTTTTTAATTCAAATTTATTTGCTTTAAACCATACATAGAGGACAGTTTTCTCTGGCTCAGTCGTGTTTTGTTTTTAAATTTTATTTAAATTAGTTAAATTTAAGGATTATTTAAATTCGTAGGACACTGGTAGGGAGTTTACTGTAAGACGCTGGTGGTAAATTTACAGTAGGATCTTGAGGTTATCTTGTGATGATTTCCGGGCTTAGTGTCCCCGCGGCCCGGTCCTCGACGAGGCCTACACCCCCAGGAAGCAGCCCGTGACAGCTGACTAATTCCAAGGTAGCTATTTACTGCTAGGTAACAGGGGCATGAGGGTGAAACTAACTCTGCCCATTGTTTCTCGCCGGCGCCCGGGATCGAACCCGGGACCACAGGATCACGCGGCCATTGTTCTGTCCGCTCAGCCATTAGCTCCCGATACTTGTGGATACTTGTGGTGAGTTTACAGTCGAATCAGAAATCGATAATTTTGGGTCGTTTTCAGATAATACAATAATTAGTGAACATAGATTTGATACATTCATAAGCATTAAATACTAAACAAGAACTGGTTTACAGGTTAATTATCAGTCACCAGAAACTTTCAGGATTTCAATAAAACTCACATCAAGAAAGCTTATATGATTTATTGAAGCAACTATAGTGTTTATTCTTAACTAATGATTTTATTAAATAATTTTATTCTTATTAAATTCTTTAATATTATTAAATTCTTTCAAAATACTGGTTATCCTCTTTATTTCGTACATGATTCGCTTAAAATGTACTTACCAAATAAATTTTGTTCTTCCTGAACTCCACTGTAAAAAAGAACATGACATAAGCACCTAATTGATGTCCGTGCACCTAATTGATGATTCGCTGTTATTTCCACGTAAACAAATTTAACATATATTATTCCCACAGTATTAACACCACATTCACTTGAAAGCATTTTGAGTAATGTTTGTACCACAAGTTCAACTCCGTCCAGCGCCCTTAGTATAATTCTGTTCAATAGTAGTAGGCATCCAACAGTCTCAGGAGACTATGGACTTGCGCACTGGCGTCGGCCTGGTCTGGAGTGGTCTCACCAGGGCGCAAAGCCAGGGTAGGTTGATTCTGGAGAGAAGCTGTTACCCAAGCAGCAGGTCCCCCCTCTCCACGGCGCTGAAAGTCTCCAATGGAAAGGCAGACACCAATACGATTGATTTAATAAGTCAATTACTCAATTCAGCTCTGCACACTCGGTTTAGCACTCGCTACACAGTCTTCACTCACTTCAAAACTCACCTCAACACTCGCTACACACACAGTTCAACACTGGCCTTACAATCAGCTCATCACAACACAGTTCAGTACTCACAAGATTGTATGATGCACTACATCATTTCCTCCACCTGACACCTTAACTAATACGCTCGTCTTTTTACTAAAATGTTTCCTTTCTCTCACATATGTCTTACAAACCATTGCCAATGTTGGCCCATAAGCCCAGAGCGGCTGCGAGCTCCCAGCATGTGACGACCTATATTTGTCACAACGGATGCTGCCTCCGTTAATAACATCCACTGCAGAACAATCCCAGCAGTTTGTATATTTTCACTTTGCAGTATTTAGCAAATGCTAATCAAAAGCGGGGATCATATATGTTGCAAATTATCTACTAAATGTTGCAATTAGTTTCTTTGAATTTTCAGTTCATATTCTTGGCAGGAGAGTGAGCCTTATCCTGGACATTGTCCAGGGATAATGTTGGTAATATTCTTCTGGTCGACTCGGTGGGTACGGGTTAATGTTGGCCTTGAATTCCGCTCCTTGTGCATTTGTCCGTGTATGTCTGGGTCCAGACCGAGCAAAATAGGATATTTCACGCACGTGCCGTTGGAATACATGACTGTAGTGAAGTTTGGTAAGAATGTTCTTGGTTAAGTGTCTTTGTGTTTTTTCTGTCTTTCTGTCTGTGTGTCTCTTGTCTGTCTCTGTCTGTCTCTCTGTCTCTCTGTCTCTTTCTCTCTCTTTCTCTCGTCTCCAACTAGTGTTGTACTCCATGAACATGTTCCTTGTGACTCTGTGCTCTCAGCTCTGGTTAGATCATTTTATCAGCCTTTCACCAGGTACTTCTATTAGCCCAAATTTTGAAATAAAATATTTCTTATAGAAAATAACAGTGTTCAGATACATATACACATCTTCAAACACAGAGCTTCTTTCGTGGTGAGGGTACCAAAAGCAGATATCTTTTCTGGTGATTTATGTGTCGCAATTGTATGTGCTCCAGAGGAATGAGTTTTGATATAAATTTCTCATGGCGGAAGGCCAGACCAAAATGTGTACCCGGTCTGGTTCATGGCGCAGTAGATATGGTAATGAGAAAATTTGTCTTGATTTTTCTTAACACATGAGCGGACTTAATTTTTATATTATTATGTTTTAATTTTTTGTATTTTTATTTTTGTATTTGTATTTTTTATTTGTAATTTGTTGAGGGAGAGAGGCTCCAGGACGTGGTAATACTTAGGCTGTGCAACACTGGGTGTCATTCTGAGGTTGATACTCGCAACATTCACATGTTGGGTTTATGGGAGCTGTTCGCACGTCAGGTTATGCAAAAGCGAAGGTATCATCAATAGCCATGGACCAGGAGGACAAGCAGCAGCCAGGCTGCAAGATATCACTGCTTGTCTGAGAATGTTGAGCACAGTAACACAATTTCCTTCAATTTCTTCGACTCATTTGCTTTTCCAACTTCGATTTGTACCTTCGTGTCCAACTTTCTCTCAATATAAAGAGGTTCTCCTTGTTGAATAATCTTCTAATAAGAGTTTATCAATACTAACACCATCACAAGACTCTCTTAAATGAAATAAACTTTCGTTCTCGAAAACTCAGAATTGTTAAATATCAATAACGGTTAAATGTTAAAATTAAACACGCAGCACTAAGTTCTTACATTGTCTTGTGCTGAAATACACGTAATAGTAACTTTTGAAATCCCAAACAACGAGTGAATGATGTAAAAATTATTTCTGGCTGGTGGAGCTGCACCTTTGCATTTGCAACATCACCACATAAATATTGTTCAATTAATTGCAGCTCATAAACCACTGCATTATTTAACACAATATTACGATTCTTACGTTTAAGACCACAACGAACTTATTAAATGAATAACTTTCCTCACCAAGACTCGACTCGTGTGGTGAGGCTGTTAAGGTCCATAACCTGATGTCGGGATCACACCAACCCGTTCTCGCACTTGTTACAGTCAATATTGGCATATTTAATAAGTGCATATTTGACATACTAATTGATTGTCAATATTTTAGTTTACCTTGAAAAGCTTCATAGAAAACACCGACCTCACCTAACCTTCTTAGTATGTTAAGATAAGCATCTTATTGCTTCTTAATTACAATTATTAACCTATACCGTTGATAGGTTAAGTAATAATTGTAAATAAAAAGCAATAAGATGCTTATCTTAACATACTAAGAAGGTTAGGTGAGGTCGGTGTTTTCTATGAAGCTTTTCAAGGTAAACTAAAATATTCACAATCAATTAGTATGTCACATATGCACTTATTAAATAAGCCAATATTGACTATAAGCAAGTGTGAGAACGGGTTGATCACACACATTCACATTTTTCTACCTAATATTGACGCCTAACGTACGATAGAAACTAATGCAAACTGGATTATCCGAACCTAGAATGGTGTAGACGTCCAGCCCTCATCCTGTGTAATTGTTTAGCAAGACAGTCCACTAATACTGGACCGGTAACTGGACCGCTGGAATAACTGGACCGCTGGAATAGCTGGACCGCGAATAGTGGACCGCATGCTTTTTTAACGGAAGGTGATGGCAACTTGAGACTTGTACATGCTAAGTGGGAGACGTGCTCAATCGGTTCAGTCAACGCTCATGTAGCTCTCCAGTGATTGGTAATATTTTCTGATGTACAACAGGAGCTGGGGGATAATACCCAATAACAGCTCAGTAAAAAGTAGCAGGATTGTTGCTTCCATTGCCGGGTCAACAACTTGCTCTCTCTAACCCCGGGATGAGCCGTGAGTGAACTAACAATGGGTGAACTAACAGTGGGTGAACTAACAGTGGGTGAACTAGCAGTGGGTGAACTAACAGTGGGTGAACTAACAGTGGGTGAACTAGCAGTGGGTGAATTAGCAATGGGTGAACTAGCAATGGGTGAACTAGCAATGGGTGAACTAGCAATGGGTGAACTAGCAATGGGTGAACTAGCAATGGGTGAACTAACAATGGGTGAACTAGCAGTGGGTGAACTAGCAATGGGTGAACTAGCAATGGGTGAACTAGTAATGGGTGAACTAGCAATGGGTAAACTAGCAATGGGTAAACTAGCAATGGGTAAACTAGCAATGGGTGAACTAGCAATGGGTAAACTAGCAATGGGTAAACTAGCAATGGGTGAATTAGCAATGGGTGAACAAGCAATAGGTGAACTAGCAATGGGTGAACTAGCAATGGGTGAACTAGCAATGGGTGAACTAGCAATGGGTGAACTAGTAATGGGTGAACTAGTAATGGGTGAACTAGTAATGGGTGAACTAGTAATGGGTGAACTAACAATGGGTGAACTAACAGTGGGTGAACTAGCAGTGGGTGAACTAACAGTGGGTGAATTAGCAATGGATGAACAAGCAATGGGTGAACTAACAATGGGTGAACTAGCAATGGGTGAACTAGCAATGGGTGAACTAGCAATGGGTGAACTAGCAATGGGTGAACTAGTAATGGGTGAACTAGTAATGGGTGAACTAGTAATGGGTGAACTAGTAATGGGTGAACTAACAATGGGTGAACTAGCAATGGGTAAACTAGCAATGGGTGAACTAGCAATGGGTGAACTAGCAATGGGTGAACTAACAGTGGGTGAACTAGTAATGGGTGAACTAGCAATGGGTGAACTAACAATGGGTGAACTAACAATGGGTGAACAGTGGGTGAACTAGCAATGGGTGAACTAGCAATGGGTGAACTAGCAATGGGTGAACTAACAGTGGGTGAACTAGCAATGGGTGAACTAACAGTGGGTGAACTAACAGTGGGTGAACTAACAGTGGGTGAACTAACAATGGGTGAACTAACAGTGGGTGAACTAACAGTGGGTGAACTAACAGTGGGTGAACTAACAGTGGGTGAACTAGCAATGGGTGAACTAACAATGGGTGAACTAGCAATGGGTGAACTAACAATGGGTGAACTAACAATGGGTGAACTAACAATGGGTGAACTAGCAATGGGTGAACTAACAGTGGGTGAACTAGCAATGGGTGAACTAGCAATGGGTGAACTAGCAATGAGTGAACTAGCAATGAGTGAACTAACAGTGGGTGAACTAACAATGGGTGAACTAGCAATGAGTGAACTAGCAATGGGTGAACTAACAATGGGTGAACTAGCAATGGGTGAACTAGCAATGAGTGAACTAGCAATGAGTGAACTAGCAATGGGTGAACTAACAATGAGTGAACTAGCAATGGGTGAACTAGCAATGAGTGGCGGCGGCTTCTGGCCCGCCCACCACCAACGGCTTCCCGAAAAGGTTGTACTAAAAATCAGTTATTAAAACAGTTATTATTTCCTCTTGTTCTATATAAATATTAGGATTTATTATTTATTTACTATTGAATGAGTTACACTGCTTCAGACTCGTGTAATAAAAGTCCAAAGTAAGTAAAGCCAGACTCGGTTCCTAGTCTGGCAATGTCCGAGATCTCATGACTAAATCCCATAAATTTACTGTAAATAAATATAATAAAGCTTTACTGATTATCAGGATTTTACTACATTTAGTAAAGAACACACCAGTCAACGTTTCTGGTAAAAAAAACAGTTGAATTGCCTCATTAATTATTGAACAAGGTTTCGGTGACTAATATAAACTAGCGAATTATCTTAATTTGTTGGTAAGAACAGGGGAGGACACGGGTGGTGTCGTGACAAGTATGCTTGGGGTCGTGGGGTCGTGGGGTCGTGGGCAGCAGGGATGGGTTGTAGCATGGGGTCATCAGTGACAGAGGATGGTCGCCACATAGGTCATACGACACATGTAGGGGTCATGACAGAAACAGGACTGAGACCACGATGGGGTCGGGCCATCGACCCCATCGTAAGGGGTCATAAGAGACTTTCATAAATCATAGAATCATAAGAGACTTTATGATTTATGACATCGATGGGGTCATGAGTCGGTGGGGACCAGAAAAACAAAATAATAATAATATTTATTCAGGTAAAAAGTACATACATTCGAAATGAGTTAGAGACAGAGTGTTGGATTTCTAGATAGACCTAGAACATACTAGGCCTAAAGTCACTATTACATCCTGTGTTTCAGGCAAGGAAAAGGCGTGACGGGGATTAGCGATGACGGGGTTCGGTAGAGACAGAGATCAGCTTAGGCAAGGGAGGGGCGCAGAAAATATCGGAAGGTGAAACGACTCCCTGGTAATCCCAGAGGAACCATTGAATACTTCGTCACTTTTAAAGCCGAGACACTCAGAGCAAAATGCAGATGTTCCATCACAATACTGACCACCTCAGACCATGGTGGACCCCTGACAGCTGAGTGGATGGCGCTTCGGATTCGTATTCATGAGATTCCGGGTTCGATCCCCGGTGGAGGCGGAAACAAATGGGCAGAGTTTTGTTTCACCCTGATGCGCCTGTTCACCTAGGACTAAATAGGTACCTGGGAGTTAGATAGCTGCTACGGGCTACTTCCTGGGGGTGTGTAACAAAAAGGAGGCCTGGTCGAGGACCGGGCCGAGAGGACGCTAAGCCCCGAAATCATCTCAAGATAACCTCAATATATATAAGAACTCTCTGTACCCAGGCAATGATAACTACACAGGACCCAATATATGCATACTTTACCGGACCCAAGAAGCAGATGACCTTGAACTCATGAAATAGATATTAGAGCTAACCCAATAAATTTACAGTTTATCCAATAAATAAATTGATCCAATAAACGGATCAACAGGACCCAGCTAGTGGATGCTAGACAAAGGAAAAATAGACAAAACTTCAAAAGTTCAAACGCTCAATGTTGAATTAAAAGTGAATAAAAGCTATCTATTTTGACTCAACGTTACCGACGTAGAATAAACGTTATCGTCTTTGAACCAAAGAACGTTAAACGAACGTTAAGAAAAGGTAAACACACAGCTGAACATCACATAGCTTAGGCAGGTTATTAATATGGATTATTAGGAAAATAATTGAATTATCAAAAAATTAATAACTTTATGAATAAGATTATGGCTATTATTGAACTCATTGTGAACCTCTTGAGTCCAAATGCGACAGATTTAGTGAGAGATAAAGGAGAAGCCGCAGAACAGGGACCAAACAAAGGAGAGAAAGAGATGAAAGGAAAATAAAAAGGAGATGGGTGCAAGGACCCGAAAAATGACTGGAAGCGTCAAGAGCCTGGAAGGGGAGCGAGAGCCCTGGAAAAGGGAGAGAGTCTTGAGGGGAAAGAAAGAGCCTAAAAGGGCAGCAAGAGTCTGGAAAGGGAGCGAAACCCTGGAAAGAGAAGGAGAATCTGGAAGGGAAAGAGAAGCTGGAGAAAGTGGAGCAAGAATCTTGTAGAGGAATCAGAGGTACAGAGGAAAATTTATGGCTTAGGAAATTCTAAGATGGTTAGAAATAAGGGATGTTTGAGGAGACACAGAGACCGTCTAAGACACAGATGCTGAAAAGAGAACCTCCACTTTTTACGTAATTAAGTTAGAGATACAATGGGGTAATACAGAACTCACATTTTAATATCTACAAGACAGTAAAATACCAAAAAATCTCTAACAGAGCTGCTTACACAACGGCGAATGATCATGATAAAAGGAAGGAAAAATTAAATAAATTACGAACTAAAAGATATTAGTTAGAGCAACCAAAAAATAAAATAAATCTTAGTTACAATTAATGTCGATATTCATGAACTGTAAACACAAAATGAATACGATCATCAGAGGCGATGAGTCACAATAACCTGGCTAAAGTATGTTGACCAGACCACACACTAGAAAGTGAAGGGACGACGACGTTTCGGCCCGTCCTGGACCATTCTCAAGTCGATTGTGTCAAGTCGGACCATCTCTCAATCGACTTGAGAATGGTCCAGAACGGACCGAAACGTCGTCGTCCCTTCACCTTCTAGTGTGTGGTCTCGTCAACGGTCATCAGAGAACTGGAGAAAGAGAAGAAATGACCCGATAGCTGAAATATATGACAAAATAGTGAAGAGATGAAGGAATTCGATGAAATAGTAGACACAATAAAAGCGACTCGTGCGAGGGAGACTAACACCATATGTTGCATATGTATCATAATGCACAAGTACACATAGTCAGAATACATGCGATGTGTGTGTCTCGGTATACATCAGTGTCACGTGTGTACAGTCCCAGAAGTGGTCATACACTTGCCTCTTTTTTGTTACACCCCCCCCCCCCATGAAGCAGCCCGTAGCAGCTGTCTAACTCCCAGGTACCTATTTACTGCTAGATGAACAGGGGCCATCAGGGTGAAAGAATATCTTTGTTTCCACCTCCGCCGGGGTTCGAACCCGGAACCTTAGGACTACAAGTCCCGAGCGCTGTCCACTCAACCGTCATACATATTTCAAGTATTCTGAAACAAATCTCCCGTCCTCCATAAATATCTATATAATAGCTATACAGGTATTCACAATTTGATCTCCAGCTCAATTAATCACAAACAGAAGCTGTGTTTTTGTCTTCGATGTTTTTGTCGGTAATTTCTCTCCTAAGTTGTTTTTGTTTCAGATTTAGCTACTTAGAACGAAGTGTCCATGTAGCACGGGCTATGGCGAGCCCGTAAACACTCCTAAGACCAGTTGACACCTCAAATTAACGGCGCAGATCATTGGTGGTGACCCATACAACCACCAGAATTCTTACTCAGGATGTACACTCATGATTTGTACTCATGATGAGTCATGATACTCTGTACACGCCATGTATACTCACACTTATGTGTGAGTACACATCGAGGTAAGCGCACACAGAAAATCACAATAACGTGATGCATCAATGAACAATGTCGTAGCTCGGTTGATTAAGGCAGCGTCTGGGATGATCTCGGACGTAGGTTCGAATCCTCGTCACGGCCCTTGTGGATTTGTTCTCCGAGAGGTAAGCGGGTTACTTAAAGACGCAGAAGGGTGTGGCCGGGCTCCACCAGAGCTGCTCTCTCCTGGTGAGGTCCGGTCTAGGATGAGGACTCCTTGTGGAACCTTTCTGGTCTCGTTGGTTCTCTTTGATGTCCTGAGTGACATCCCTTTTATAGCTGCTGAGCAACAGTTGCCCTAAATTTCCGCCCTTCGATTGGTTCCTGGGGAGAGGGGGAGGGGGAGGGGGAGCTAACATGGTTCTAATTTAAAGACAGGTGTCTTGAGAGTGCACTGTCTCATGATTTCACGCACACGCGCGCGCACACAGAAGAACTGAGAGGAATGAGCTACGAGGAAAGGCTAAAGGAGCTGAACCTCACGTCCCTGGAAAACAGAAGAGTAAGGGGAGACATGATAACCACCTACAAAATTCTCAGGGGAATTGACAGGGTGGACAAAGACAAACTCTTCAGCACGGGTGGAACACGAAGAAGTGGACACAGGTGGAAACTTCGTACTCAGATGAGCAACAGAGACGTTAGAAAGAATTTTTTCAGTGTGTGAGTAGTTAATAAATGGAATGCACTAGGAAGTGATGTGGTGGAGGCTGACACCATACACAGTTTCAAATGTAGATATGATAGAGCCCAGTAGGCTCAGGAATCTGTACACCAGTTGATTGACAGTTGAGAGGCGGGACCAAAGAGACAAAGCTCAACCCCCTCAAGCACAACTAGGTGAGTCCACGCACACAAGGACACACGCACACACACTAAAGGTACGTATAAAATTCTCAGGGGAATTGACAGAGTGGAAATAAATGAAATGTTCACACGGAATAGTAACAGAACGAGGGGACATGGGTGGAAGCTGGAAACTCAGATGAGTCACAGAGATGTTAGGAAGTTTTCTTTTAGCGTGAGAGTAGTGGAGAAATTGAATGCACTTAAAGAGCAGGTTGTGGAAGCAAACTTTATTCATAATTGTAAAACTAGATATGATAGGGAAATAGGACCGGAGTCATTGCTATAAACAACCGATGGCTAGAAAGGCGGGATCCAAGAGTTAATGCTCGATCCTACAGGCACAAATAGCTGAGCACAAATAGGTAAGTACACACACACACATTGCCGTAACAGGTGAACTGCCAAAAATTTGGAAGACGGCAAACGTAGTTCCAATATACAACAAGGGGGAATGACAGGAGGCACTGAACTACAGGCCAGTGTCCCTAACCTGCATACCATGCAAGTTAATGGAGAAGATTGTGAGAAAAAACTAGTGGAACATCTGGAGCGAAGGAACTTTGTGACACATCAACAACATGGTTTCAGGGATGGCAAGTCATGCCTCACAGGATTAATTGAATTCTTCGACCAGGCAACAAGAATCAGGCAAGAAAGAGAGGGGTGGGCAGACTGCATATT